AACCTTTAAACGTAACCATATCGCCGAACTGGTTAGAGAAATGACTTACCGTTTTATAACCCGGTTACAAAGTGACTTGATCGATACTACTCGAATTTGAACGGTATGTTGCGGTTTGTTAAACCGGAGCCACGTGAAAAGGGTTAATGGTTGGAAACGGAACACACCACATACACTGTCACTGTCACTCGTCTGTCACTTGACTACGTCCAACAAGTGTTTTCGTGTTCGTTTTGTCTTGAGAATATATGAATGAATTTTTTAAATTATTTTGCTTTTGCATTGTTGATCAACAGTTGATGTTGTAAGAATAGAATAGATCAACAATCAACAACTTTTATATTTTTTCTCCGAGGAAATTTCACCGAGCCTGAGCGAAAATGGCTAGTCTTAGTGAAATGTCTCTAATGTGCAGACTTTGTTTACTGGAAGATCAAAAGCAAGTGAATATTCCAATTTTCGAAGATCGAAGTGATAAACTATTAGTTAAAATTAGTGGCTTATTACCCATTAAGGTAAGTTGCTATTTTATTTATTCTATACGGTTTTAGTCGATAGATGCAAGGCGAGGTTTCGCCTAGGTTTTGGCATGGGGCATCCTGTACCAAGGGGTGTTCCACTGACTAAATGTATGTACAAGTACTGCGGAAAGTATGGTACTGCAAGTACTGTCAGTGTAAGCTCTATTACTGTAAGGTACTGTCAGTATAAGGTCTAATACTGTAAGGTATTTGTGTATTACTGCATGTAATATCATGGTATTGTCAGTATTGTTAAGGTATTGCCTTGGACTGTGAAAGATTTTTAGTCGAGTTTTTAGTATCTTCTATCATTTAAAATATTTTAGTATTTGCTAAATTTTTATTAAGGCAGTGGATAGAGGTCCGAAAATTCGGATCTCTAGTGTTCATACCGAGGTTCATACTAAAGATCCGATAATTTTCGGATTTTCAATTTGTCCGAAAATGCGAATCTTTAAGTGGTAATATTGAAGATCCGAAAATAGATCTCAAATTTCAAATTTCAAATATGCTTTATTGTCAGAAAATTATAGTACATTCTATTGACAAAGCAACATCCTTAATAATATAAAATATAAGAACAGATAACAAGTAAAAAAGACACTACAGCAGTGGCACTAGCAAGTGGTAAAATGACTAACAATAAAAGAAAAATTCAGTACTTATTAGTAAATTTGTAACATTTTTAAAATTTAGAACACATCAGTTATTATGGCATTGTGAATCTATTACTAAATCAGGTAGACCCTGTCCTACAAGTAGTATAAAACATAAAACATAAAGTTGAGTTTTAGACACTTACATCACGATACAGACACAAGATCCTGTTAAAGGTTGTCATCAAAATACTCGTCAAGAGAATAAAATGTTTTATCTGCCAATAAACTTTTAACCTTATTTCTAAAAGATTTATAATTTTGATCCGTTCTTAAATTTAATGGTAGTTTATTGTACATTTGTATACTTTTATAAATCAGAGAATCCTGAGTTAGAGAGAACCTTGGTATAGGCAAAGGTATCAGGTTGTAGTTCCTTGTTGGATAGGAGTGCGCATGTGTAGTACCCTGGTACCTCTTGTGAACTAAACAGACAGTCTCTAAGATAAAGAGATCCACTAAGGTTAACATTCCCCCCCTCCTAAATAATTCTCGGCAGTGATCTCTGAGACCTGCTCCAAAAATATACCTAACAGAACGTTTCTGAAGAGTAAACACTGATTGAAACAAACACTTACTGCAGTTCCCCCAAAAAGCAATTCCATAGCGCAAGTGGGACTCAACAAGAGCAAAATAAGTGGCCTTAGCCATAGACTGACCCAATTCATAGCACGTTTGGCGTACAGCATAGCCTCCCGCTGCAATTTTTTTATTTAAGTTGATTATATGCTGGAAAAATTTTAAATTGCAGTCAATATTAATTCCAAGAAATTTAGTATCCTGACTGAGACCGATTGACTGATTTCCAAGTTGAAGATTATCAAATGTAAATTTAAAACTGAGAACTTTGGTTTTTTCAATATTAAAACTTAGAAAATTTGAATCACACCATGCTTTTATTTGATGGAGGTCATTAGAAACAATCTCTTTCAAGAGCAGTGGGTCCTTATGGTGCCAAAGGGGCGTAATATCGTCAGCAAAACCAGTGAACATACACTCAAGTGGTAATTCAAAAAGGTCATTAACATACATCAAAAGCAAAATAGGTCCCAGGACAGAACCTTGTGGAACTCCTGTGTCAATTGCTAAGGCTGATGATATGGAACTCCTGTTATTAACCATTTGGGTCCTTTTTGATAAATATGAGGTAAAGAATTTCAATGAAGTGTCCCGAATTCCATAAATATACATTTTATTCAAGAGTATGTCATGTCTAACGCAATCGAACGCTTTAGAGAGATCGCAGAAAACCGCAGCTGCAACCTCTCTATCGTTCAGTTTCAAATACAATTGCTCCAGGAAACAGAATACAGCATCACTAGTACTTTTAGATGACTGAAATCCAAATTGACAATCGCTAATTATATTGTTACGTGATAAAAACACAGTCAGTCTATTCTTCACCACCTTCTCCACTATTTTTGACAGGGTATTTAAAAGTGAAATGGGTCTAAAGTTAGCTGGGTCCTTGAAGGAGCCACCTTTATGTATGGGGACCACCAAGGCAACCTTAAGTGAGTCGGGGAATTCACCAACCTCAAAACATTTGTTGATGGCCTGTGACAGCACATAGAGACTATTATCATTTAAGTTTTGAAAGATTTTGACAGACATCTCTATTCCAGCAGAGTTTTTATTTTTTATGTCTCTGATTATGATTTTAAGTTCCTCTACAGTTGTTTCTGTTAAAGTGAATGTTTCATCGATGTGTGAATGGCTAAGATAACTGAGGGGATCTAAGGCGGGTTCTATCTTGTCTGAAATTTTTTTCGCAATTGAACAGTAGAATTCATTTAGAATGTTTGGCTGAATATCAGCTGACTTTTGTGCATGGCTATGCTTGCCCCTTAGGTCGTTCACAATGGACCATGCCTCTTTTGAAGGGTTTTTTGCATTAGAGATTCTATTTTGATAGTATTGTAATTTTGCTGATCCGATAACTTTCCTATAAATTTTCCGATATTCATTATAATAATTTATAAAATACTGACTATCGGCAAACTTTTTGATGAAATGTAAAGATTTAAGATTTCTTGAGGAAGTCTTAATGCCTTTCGTAATCCAGTTTTTTTTGGGCTTTTTTGCTCTCATATTGCACACTGGAAAGCTCTTGGCAAACGTATTGTGCAACAGTGTATGGAACAATTCCAGAGGTTTTTCTGAAGCAAGCACACACTCCCAGTCCACCAAGGAAGAACAAGTATTAAATCTTTCAAAATTCCGACTTGAAAAAACCCTCCCATATCTTTGGGGTATTTTTTGTTTTGTGCAGAGTAGAGAGAAGTTGGCTTACAATGCCTCATGGTCTGACAGTCCAGGGGTGGAAACCATTTCACAGTTAACCCCGTTCTCGGATAAGTTAGTACAAAAATAGTCAATAACAGTAGCAGAATCTTCAGCCACCGTGGTAGGAGAGTCAACATGCATGGACAAACCATAAGAGCACAGTAGGTCCTTTAATGCCAGAGTAGCTGGTGATTGGTTGTCAATAAAGTTAATATTTAGATCTCCTGACAAAATGACCTTACAATTAACCGGTAAATCCAATAAAATGGTTTCTAAGTTCACTAAAAAACCTGTAGCATTTGTTCTTGGAGGTCTATATATACAAATTAAATACAAATTGTGTTTTCTGTTAAATGCAATCGAAAATTCGAATTCTTTTTCCACACGCAAGAAGTCATACTTGTCAACCTCCTCCATATTGAAGTTTAAAGAGAATGATTATTTCATTAAAATAATTGTACCTCCATACCCATTGGAGGAGTCTCTACAGTAGTTTGAGACAATATAATAATTTGGCAAGTGAAAAGGCTCCCAGTTTTTTAACCAATGTTCTGTGAGCAAGATTAAGTCTGGTCTGTTGCAGTTTTCCAAGAAAACCTCAAACTCTTTGATTTTATTGCGAACAGATTGGATGTTCAAGGTAAGTATTGACACAGAATTAGAATTTGAATCTACCCTTCTTCTATTGTTATTGAAGGGGGACATAAAAAAGGCAAGCTATCAGATTTTTGCGAGATATTTATTGCTAGGTTGTTGGGCACATTTTCACCGCCAGTAGATGAAAAAACATGATCAATACCATCTACAAGACCCACAGGGGTAATTGGAACATTAAGTTCTACACACGTAAGTTCTTCACTATTTGACAACTTGACACTATTTGACAGCTTGACAATGTTGCCCTGCACACATTTGGCACCGGAGTCAGAGAGTGTGAGGACGCGATTTGAAATCATGCTACTCTTTACATAATACAAAACATTACTTAAAAAGGAATGCCTTGACAATCGATATCTGCCATTTACCCTATTGTTATCCAGAACTCTAATTGATGCACTTTGGCATTTGAGGAAATGTTGACAAAGAGAAACAAACCTTACATACTTGTTGTATTCCCAGTCGGAATATCGCAAAGAAAAAATCAAATTAGTACATTTACCAATAGAAAATAGTATCCCCAAATAAAAAGCATCAAGGAAATCAAAAGAACCCAAATCAATAATTATTACAACATTATCCATATTACCATATTCCGCCGTTAGACCAAGGAGTTTGGCTGTCATATGGGAAGTTGCAATAGCAGGGTGGCATTCTCCATAAATCAGGTATTCATTAGTCAGGCCTAGCAGTCCATCAGCAACACCTCTAGAACTTGCGTCACCAAAAACCAGTATCTTGTTTTTTTTGTTGGGGTTGGCTTGAACATGTACAGTTTGTGGAGTCGGCGCATATGTAATAGAGCTAGATGATTCAGTCACATGCGGATCTATGTCTAATAGTTCGTCGAACAAAGATACATTAAATTGTGCACTCTTACTGCTTAAAGAGGGTACCCCGCTCGGCTTCCCATGGGAAACATGTAAACAGGCAAGTTGTTCCTTCAAGTCTTCCAGCTCGCTCGAAAGAAATCGATTCTCATTATCAAGGGTCTCAATTGAAGTAGCCATTTGTTTATTGAGATTCGTAATTTCGGCTATTTCAATCATGAGGGCTTGTTGTTTCTCATCAGAGCTGCCCGCAAGGCAAGGATCAGTCTGAGAGTCATTCTGAAGTAGAATTTCCTCTTGAAAAAGAGTTTGAGTTGATGAAGAAGCAAGTTTCCTTGGAGCGTTGGTTACTTGTTCTAGCGAATTTCTTGCCAACTGAGACAGCCTCTGTTTAAGGGCGCTATTTTCACGAACCAATCGATCTTCTGAATATTCCGCCTCATCCAGTAGAGTTTGCTTTTCCCGCTTCAACCTATCAATGTAGTTTGTTTTGTCAAAAACTTCAGTTTTAAGCTCATTGATCATTTGCGTTAGACTTGCTACTACGTCAGGATCTGAGTCAGTTGAGTCAGTTGACTCTCTTGCCAGGTTTGAGCACTGAGCAGAACACAAAACCAGGTTATCCCTTATTATGTCCACATCTCTGGCAAGTCTTGATCTGCAGCTCTTATGGTAAACATTGTGGCACAGTATGCAGACCCAGTTGTTCTGTGTCTTCTTGCAGCATTTAAAGGTAAGAGCCATTTCAGCAGTAGGACAAAAAAAACGTCAATTTGAAATTCTTGTCGAGAATTAATTGTACAATAGCTAGTACATTTGTGAGGTCAACAATAATCCAGTTGAAGTGAAGTCCAATAAATAAACAAATTCAAGCGATATGCAAATTAAATCGATAAGGAATATGGTTTTTTTTACTACATTATAGTCACCAAGAAAAACTATAAAACGGAATTTCCACCATCAATAATAATTCTTCAAACTTGATTTCACTAGGGTATAACACAGAAAAACTTTCTCTTTAATCTGACACTAATTTCAATAATTATTTCGAACTATTACTCTATTTAAACTTTATTTTATTGAGAACAAAAACCAACGACATTCGCACATTGAGAACTCTGATAATCTGATGTTTTATTTCCTCGTTTATTTCTAATCCTGTTGTAAATAAGGAATAGTATAACATTTTACTAAAACTGATAAAATGCTTGTATTTTTAGGGATTACTAAAAAAATGGATCCCCTAATCCTTTTTATGTGGAATAGCTAATCAAGTTTACTCAAAAATATTTGCTTGGTGCAATTTCAAACAAGAAAAGTACCTACAAAAAACAAAACTAAGAACCTTTTTATTTTTCCAAAACTTTACATAAATCAAAATAACTTTTTTTTATAAGTGTTGATAGGGTAAGAGGTGTGATTTAGTTCCTTCTGCACTGCATGCAAAACCAGGCTTTCTTACTAGAAGGCAGCTTTGTTACTGAACAGCACACTTTTATGTTTCCACCAAAGACATGAATTGTACTGTAAACAATCTTCATGTATTACTTCAAGTGGATCAATTTGTTGGTGATGAGGAATGTTTTCTTTCTCAATTTTAAAGTTTTTATGTAATGCTTTGTTTACCAAATCTTCTGTATTAAAAATTGCATTAAGCATTATCTGGTGCGTTAGTTTAGGAACTTTATTTTTCAATAAAACAATTCTATTTTTCTTAGACCTTTTTAGTCCAATTGCAGTTAATTGATGTCCCTTGATTTCAAGTTCTCATTGACACTGGCTAATTTATTGGGACATTTTTTTTTCATTGATGCTATAGTTTTTGTGTCTCTCTATACAAACATATAAATTCTGTATGTTCAACTTTTTCAATGTACTCCTCTACTACACTAAAGAAATTCAACGTTTTTCCTTTTTGTAATAGAGACATTTTGTAGAAAAATAAGCACTATGTCTTGTTAACTGCCTGCAGCCCTGAACTAAACATGATCCAGGACATAATCACTAAATAACCTGTCGCACATAACCCATTTTCATTTTTTTTTTTACGGATATGCGCACTCGCAAGGAAATGTCCTATCACGCTCGAGAAGCGGCAAGTGTGCGGAAATGTCGGTGTATGTTCAAAATCAAAATCAAAATAATATAAGCTTTATTGTCCAGAAATATGTATCTCACTGACAAAGCAATTTCCTAATTCTAGAATTACACTAAGTACATGTCATAATATTATTAAAGAATAAAAAACAAAAATAAAATCACAAAAAAAAACAAACTAAATTCACCAAAATCTTTATCCAATCACCACTATGGATGGTGCGGACATGTAGCCATTAACATGTAGTGTATAAAAACATAACCATAAAATACAAAGTATAAAACATAAAATAATATAAATTATAAAACACAAAATACAAAAACCAAATATAAAACACAAAACAAAAAAATAAATAAAAAAATGCAAATATCAATAACAACGGAAACATTCATAAGTTTAGATTTAAATTTAAAATTTAAAATCCAGTGTCGTAATACTCAGCGATACTGTAGAGGGCTCTAGGCACTAAAAGGCTTTTCACAGAATTTCGAAACATTCTATAATTTTGAATATTTTTCAACTCTCCTGGTAAATGATTGTATATTTTAATGCTTTCAAAAATCACCGAACTTTTTGTTAAGGAAGACTTTGGGATTGGAACTGGAAGATTATTGTGTCTTAGGTCATAATTTCTTTCTTGAGTGGTCCCAGAATATTTTCTAAAGATTAGACACACTGATTCTAAGATAAATAACGATGGTACTGTTAGTATTTCCTCCTGCACAAAGAGTTGTCTACACGATTCTCTACAACTTTTCTTGCAGAGATAGCGCACTGCCCGCTTCTGGAGAACAAAGACTGAGTGGACCGATTTCTGGGTGGAATATCCCCAAAAAGCAATTCCATATCGTATATGAGACTCCATAAGAGAGAAGTACGCCGCTCTAGCAGCTTGCTTTCCCAGATCCTGAACAAGAGATCTGATTATGTAACAGCTCTGTGCTAATTTTTTATTTAGTTGTTCAATATGTGTGTCGAACTTTAATCGTGTATCTATATATAATCCCAAGAACTTATTAGTTGTTTTTTGTTCAAGGGGAATATTGTCTAATCTCACCTCGCCCAGAGAACATTTGAATGTCAAAATATTAGTTTTTTTTGTATTAAAGCATAACCTATTTGAGTCGCACCAGCGTTTCACCTGCATAAGGTCCTGCTCAATAGTTGTTTTAAGCTCCTCCAGATTCTTGCCCTTCCACAACACTGTTTTGTCATCAGCAAAAGTTGTAGATTTCCCAGCGATTGGGAGCTGAGCTAAATCGTTAATGAAAAGCAAGAACAGAATGGGTCCAAGTACAGATCCCTGCGGTACTCCACAGGTAATTCTTGCCATCTGCGACTCTTTTCCGTTTATTCTTACGAATTGCTCCCTGTCTGAAAGGTACGACCCAAACCACCCCGAGCACACTCCCGAAAACCTATAGTGACTCAATTTCCGCAGCAGTATTCCGTGATCCACACAGTCGAATGCCTTCGAAAAATCACAGAACACCGCCGCAGCCACATCTCCATCGTTTAGGCCCAGAAAAAGTTCCTCCAAGAATGAAAACATGGCATCGTTTGTTCCAATATTGTTTTGGAATCCAAATTGATGCTTGTCAATGATTTTATTCGATTCCAGAAAGAATGTGAGCTGTTTTTTTACAACCTTTTCAATTATTTTCGAGATTGTGCTCAGCAATGATATGGGACGATATTTCGATGGGTCATTTTTGTTTCCTGCCTTGTAAATTGGTACCACAACAGATGTTTTCAAACATTTAGGAAATACTCCTGTAATCAGTGAATTATTTATGGCTGATGTTAACACCTGTAATGCTTGTTCTGGTAAATTCTTTACAATTTTTACTGATATATTGTCATATCCAGAAGAGTTATGTTTCTTTAAGTCCTTCAGTATCTGCTTTATTTCACTTATATTTGTCAGAGAGAAAGAGAATGTATCTTCATATGTCACAGGGTTTAGATAGTTGGTAGGATCGACATTTGACTGTATGTTTTGACAGATGTTACCTGCTATTGTTGTGAAAAAACTATTTAACTCCTCTGAGCTGAGTCCAGGAATGTTGCTGAATTTGCTCTGTTTTCCTCGCAATTCGTTTATAATGCTCCAGTATTCTCTAGTTTTATTTCTGGCACTTGAAACCCTATTCATATAGTAACGATTTTTAGCTTGTCGGATAACTTTTCTGTATGTGGACCGATATTTGTTAAAGTAGATGATAAATGTTTCACTATTTATATATTTGCGTATTGTATGTAAAGATCGTAAATTATTCCCAGATATTTTTATACCTTGTGTTACCCAACACTTCTTAATTTTTCTTTTAATTTTACGCAGTGGGAAACTTTTATTATAAATTTTTATTATATTGTTTTGGAATGTTTCCAGTGGGTCTCCAGCCATGTTGGTCTTGAAACGGTTCAGGTTGTAACCTGCAGGGAAAACCGTCGCAGGGAGTTTATTCCACAGCGATGCTGTTCTCCAGAGATATGAATTCTGATATAATGAAGTTCTTGGTGCCTCTAGTTTGACAGTAAATTCATGGTTACCGTCTGTTTGACGGGTTCGCCTGGTAGGTGCTACTCTCGGTGGAATCATACGTGCCAACTCTTCAGAGCATTTTCCGTGATAGTACCTGTAGAAGAGAGATAAATCGCCCACAGATCTGCGATGTTCGAGACCATCCAAGTTACGAGTAAGTGCGGGGTCATTGATCAGGTTGATAGCTCGTTTTTGCACGGTGTTCAAAAGCATTAAGGTATGTTTGGGTGCTGCACTCCATATAATGTGAGCAGTACTCCATAGTTGGTCGAATCTGGGCTTTGTAGAGTGTCAGCAATTGGCTTGGTGTGTACAGATGTCTTGTACGAAATAGCACCCCCAGCTTTTGGGACGCCCTTTTAGCAATATCTGCCACGTGACTGTGCCAAGACATGTTGGTCTCTGCAGTAACCCCCAAGATGTTCAACTGACTCTGTAATGTGACAGCACTTCCAGATAGCATGATGTTTGGCTCACCGGTGCTGGTCTTTTTTGAAAACAGAGCTGCTTGGGTTTTCTGCGCGTTGAACTGTACAAGGTTTTTGTTACCCCAGTCGTCTATTATCTCCAGGTCGTTATTTATCTGCGATATTTGAGTTAGTGTAAGATGATGGAATTCACGTGCGGATAGACCTGTGGGTGGTATGAGTGAGGAGACTACATTGCCATCGTCTGCAAAGCAATAAAGTGGATTTACTGTTTTATCTATGAGGTCATTTATGTAAATCAGAAAAAGAGTTGGCGAAAGGATTGCTCCCTGTGGCACACCAGCATTTATTTGGTAAGAGTTGGAGTTCTGGCCATCCAGTGCAACATAAATGGATCTGTCCTTTAGGTAACTTTCAAACCAAGTGCAAAGTTTCGGCGATAATCCCATTGCTT